TTTTTTTTTTTTTTTTTTTTTGTTTCAATATACGTGTAGAAATATAAGTATAATAGATGTGTTGTTTGGAATTTTTAGAAAGTTTATTTTTTAATGAATTTTGAATTTTGTTTTTTTTTTCTAAAGCTTTTTTTATATATGAATTTATACTTTTTTCTTTTGTAAATTATTGTTACAGAAATTTTCAGAGAAAAAATTTTCATGTTTTCAGAAATTAGAAATCAATCTTGCATTAAAAAATATTCAAAGACAAAACCTCAGTTTTTGAAGGCTTCGAATATATATATATATCGAATATGTGATTCGATAAGTGTGAAAAGTTTATAATTTTGAATTTGAAAGCGAATTTGAACAAAAAGAATCTTATTGCATGTTATGAGTTTAAATTATTTTGTATCATTTTATTATATTATTGATAATTATAATATTACCTGTATCTATTTATTGTCACAAGATAGATATTCAGAAAGGCTTAACTGTTCTGAGGATTGTTGAGAGAGAAATTTTTTTTGCTACATGATAGTACTGGATAAATATTTTAAAGATAACTAGATTATTATTACATTAGATTAAATTCAATATTTCAAATGAATGAAATTTCAATTCTAGAAATTGACGGCAATTCGACAATTAATTGAGCATATGTTATACATGAAAATCATCATATTAAACTAGATTATCAATCTTATACTTAAATTTTGGTTAAAGGTTTTTCTTTAAAAATATCTTGAAATATGATAATTAATTGTCATTTTGATGGATGATTTAAATTTTATTTAATTATTAATTTAATTTTATTATGATGTAATATTATATGATATCTAATAATTTTTAAATTAAATATTAACAAACTTGAATTGCTTATAATTTAATAAATTTTTATCAAAATTTCAAAATCAAAATTATTGTTATTTCTTTTAGCCTCAAGAATCAACTTTCCATTTGTTTCTCAAATAAATAAACATATTTTAAATATAAGATATGCAAGATATACAATAAAAAAATCATCAAATTTTATTACGAAATATAAATTTGATTACCTTTATATTTTCTTTGAGAAACTATACACAATGCATCTTGTTTTTAAAAATAATTTTGGATATGATTTGTTGGAACCTTCAAAAGCGTTATTTGTTGCATTAAAGTATATAAAAAGATAACTATGTTAGGACATCTTTCTTATTCTATTTAATTCTCAATAACTTTCTTCTGTTCTCAAAGATAAAGGAAATAGAGAATTAAGTTCTAAAGTAAAATGTTGAATTTTGATCGGATATTTTCTTGATTCCTTCTTTGAACTTAATGAAGAAAATTTGCCAAATCCTTGTAAAAACCCCTAGTCTTGTGCCAATTTAAGAACTTTGTCTTATTCTCTTTATGTCAATTCTAATTTATCCTTTTCCCTTCTTCTTTCAATAGAAAAATCTTTTAAAAAGGTTGATCCTTTAACTGACATGAAAATATATTAATCAGATGTTATTAATAAAAAAGCTTTTTATTATTTATCACTTATTATTTCTAATAAGAAAGCAATCTTTATTTTCTTTTCTAAACTAATTCTTTATAAAATGATAAATTGACTTATTCTATTTTGTATAGATATTATGTATAGTATACTACACATAATATATATAAATATATTATCTCTTATGATTAACAACTAAACATATAGTACAAATTTTATTATTATACAATTAAAAATTTTACTATTATACATATGCAAGTATAACACAGTAAAATATACATGAAATTCAAATTATATTATTTTCTGAAGATTTAAGAACTTATCAGTTTGCAATGATAGTGAATCAATAATAGTGGAAAAATAACAAATGCAAAGCCTCAATTAAATTCTTTTGCTATAAAAGAAAAATTAGGTGAAAGCCTTCTCGTTCAGTTAATTTCCACAACAGAAAATGAATATCAATCAACCATACACTTATACATGAATCGTTATCAACTGCAGAATGTAAATGAAACAATATGGAAATATTCCAATATATGTTGGAACACTCTGTACTTAATTAAATATTTGAACTATAATAAAATAGGATTTATTATTATTTATTTCTGGTGCGTTTAAAGAAGTAAATTTTTTAATGATTAAAATTATTATTTATAACTTTATTTTTCTTAATTTAATTAATTCGTAATAGAATTAGGTATACTATGTACAAATTTCATTTTAATATTATTGATATTTTTGAAATCATATATTATTGAATTTTTTTCATCCTCAATTTTAAAATTTATTTAATAGATTTCAGTATTCTTTGAATTAAAAATGGCGTAATTTATTATTAACATTTTATTAAACTTTATTATTAACATTTAAAAAATTGATTGCTACTAATTGCTATTCTTGATTCATTTCTGCCCTTCTTTGAACTCAATGAAGAAAATTTTTTTTTAAATCCTTGTAAAAACTCCTAGTCTTGTGTCAATTTAAGAACTTTGTCTTATTCTGTCAATTCTAATTTTTTCTTTTCTTTATTCTTTTTATTATTCTTTTCTCTTCTTCTTTCAATAGAGATACTTTTATTATTAACAACACAAATGAAATTAAAAAAAAATTAATCAGATTAATTTGTATTATATCATAAATATATACTGTAATTATAAAAAAATAAAAAAATAGAGAACATATATAATTTCAAAATATAATTGTGTATATATATAATAAATATATATAATTGTATATATATAATAAAATAAAGATAAAAATAATCAATATACAATTATTAAATAAAAGAAATTAATTTTGATCAACTAATTCAATCTATGAATATAAAAATTCATATACAGTATTAATATTAATAAGAAGATTAACGAAAAATTTCAGATCAGTACAATTTTCTTTGTTATTTTCTTAAACAGGTTAGTGAAGATTGATAGTCGTAAGATTGTGAGTAATGTGGGTGAAATTGGTTTGGACGAAGGTTGAGCAGAGAAAATTGAATTTTCTGATGGTGGTTCATTCCTCTTTTGTTTTTCTTATTTTTATCTTTGTTATCATAGTATGACAAGATGGACGCTTATTTTCATTATTATATATATATATATATACATAAGATATAAATAATAAAAAAAATATAGATTATAATAAATATAGATATAGAAAATCCCTTTTGATGTATCTCTTATCTTAGTATTTCTTAAATACGTATATTAGTAAAGATTAATGATTTTTATCATAAAAGAAATTTATTTAGAGCAAAAATCAACTAATTAATCCTTATTTTTATTTCTTATCCTTATTTTTATATATTAGTCTTTGTATAATATAATAATATTATATTCTAATTTGACGATAGTATTTTAATTTAAATTAATTTTCAAAATAATATAGTTAATTATTGAAATTAATTTATTTAGGAAAGTGACATTGATTTGATGCTTGAAATTTTGGTCCCTGTAATACAATATTAATTAATCATGATAACAAATGAATAATTGTTAAACAATGAAAGATAGAGTAATTAAAATATACAAGGATAATAAATAATAAATATGTACCATAGTTAATGAATATTAACGAGAAATATCAAATAAAAATAATAAATAATTAAAAACAAATTATTGTTTGTTTGAATTATATTTTGTATCTTTTTATCTTATCAGATTTACAGACAGTAAAATACTGTCCTTTTTTATGTTATAATTTTTAATATTATTATTACAAAATGAACTTTTATAGAAGATCATAATCAGTCAAAATTAATAAAATATTTAGACAATCTAAAATTAAATTTTTCAATATCACTAGCACGAATTTCATTTTTCGCACTTTTACATTTCATCTATCTTCCTTATAAATTTTATCAAATATTTAATATCCATTCTTGTGTAGAACTTCAAATTCCTAAGGATTTCAATACTTGAAAGTAAATCTGTTGAGACTTATTCTCCAGTGTCATTTTTATTTTAGAAGTGAACGCTACATTAAGAATGAAAATTATTGTTAGTGCAAACTTAAAAAAATTATTGAAACTGTAACCTAATTTCAATGCATTCAAGAATAAATCTTGAAATCTCAAATGTCATTTCTTGCTACGTTAAGAATGAAAATTACTTACAGTCACTTTCAACATAGTATTCATTTACAAAATATGCTTTTAATAGCAACTCTTGACAGTTTTATTCTCTTATTTATTCTATATTTGTACTTCAAAATCTTGGACCTTTTTTCATTACCTCTTCCCTATCGATTCATAAAATTTTTAGCATTTGTCATTACTTACAAATTTACAATATCAAATTAGAAATATATCCTGAAAAAATATAAACTTCAAAAATCAAAAAATTAAAGAGAAGCCATAAGATTAATTGAAATAAAATGAATAGCAACACTAATTGTATTCTATCTACATGCACACGACATATATTATCAAATTTATTGCTTGGCTCAACAGAATCAATTATAAAAATAATATAAAGATTAAAATCATCAAAATTGTCATTAATTGCAAATTGAAAATTTAAATATCTTTTATTCATAGTTAATGAAACACATACTCATTTTCAATGTAGTATTCATTTACTCTGCAAAATATTTTCAAAAATAGATTAAAAATTTTGCACTTTTTCTCCTTATTATTTCAAGTATACTTTTTTATTGATTAATAAAATTATAAATTTGATATTAGTTGCAAGAATTCAAATATTTTTTCATTAGAGTAGAAATTATTATCACATAATGACTTTTAGCAATTCTCGAAAATTTTACTATCAAATCTATTTATAGTACTTTTTATATATTATTATTATATACTAGTATATATTATATAGTATATATTATATAGTTTTTAGCCTTTTTCTTTTTATTCTTCCATCATTCCATGTATCTTCCAGATACAAAATTTTCATTAGCATTTGACATTACTTAAAAAGAAAGAATCTAATATCCTTTTCATTAATGAATACTTTATTAAGAATTAAATTGAATTATTATCATACAATCATATTTAACATTCATTCAATATTCATTTGTTCTCAAGAGTTTCACTCCCAAATCTATTTACACTTCAGACTATCTTTTTCTTATCACTTCATTTATCTTTTTTGTCGATTTACAAAATTTCCATTAGCATCTAATACCAGCTATAAGAACAACCCATTCTTCCACACCATAAGATAAAACAGCTTACCACGAAACACTTTACAGCTCTCTAACGCACCCCCTAAACTGAGACACGACGCCATATAATAGCTGCTTCATTTTCTCCATCCAAGTGCCTTTTGCTCCTCCCCGCTCAATCTTCCAGCCATCCAGTAACCAAGACAACCTGAAATAACCCGTGTTATCGTATTCATCCGATTTACCTTCATTCTCGCAGATATCTATTCTATTTTTATCCTAAAGTGATGGAAATTTGCCTCGAGGATTCTGATGTCGAACGTCAGAAAGAAATCGTTCAGGACCGAGAGTATAGTTAACCAACCACTCGATCCTTGCCAGATTATTTACGAACGATGAACCACGTAGCTTAATGACTATCTTGCAAATTGGTTCGTATTCAGTCAACAAAAGAATCGATGATAAGGATTGTGGATCGTTTATTATCCTGTTTCCCATCGGTATGTACCTTTCTATGGAAATGAAGGATCTTTGGTTGCTTTCTATCTCGAAAGGAATAATAAAATATCCTGCGTTCAATTATCGGTCGAGTTATTACGTAAATGTTGCGCCCTGCTGTATGCATAACAGGAATTTGATTTGATTGGCTGCTCTTTCTCGACGACTAAAGATCTTTTTTTATTTTATTAGTGGCTGAGTTGGATTTCTTCTGGATTTAATTCCTCAGGTTTAAAATATTTTCATATTAAAGCTTAAAATTGAAATATTATATTTTGTTTTGTGATTAATTACAAGTGATAATAAAAAAAAATTAGATATTTTCGTATAAATATTTTTAAATTTATAAAGATTAAAAACAAGAATAAATTAATTGAAAAAAAAATTATTATAGAAATTATATTTTAGATATATATAAATTTTTTTATAATACTTGATCAAAATAAACACAAAAATTGATATAGAATAAAATGTTGACTTTATTAAGTTATGGGCAATTCAAATTCATCTTAGATGAAGAAACGTAATGATAAAATCTGTTCCATTTCTATCATATTATCACACTATGCTATTTTGCTTTGTCTTAGAGTTTCAATAATAATAGAATTTTCAACGATGAATAGAAAGAACTTGTCAGAAAGTTTTCTAGTTTCCTTTTTTAGTTTATAAATAATATTTATATTGCTTTAATATTGTTAAAATAATTCATATTCTTTTAATAATTATTCGCGATCTTTTATCTATCCTCTTGTATAAATAATCCAATTTAAGATAATCTTTACTTATTTTAGTTATATTCTATTATATTATAATATTATTATTTATTATTATATTATAATATAATATTATTACTCTATTATATTATAATTCTATTGCATGATTCTGTTGAAAAATATCAAAGTATGTATTTGATTATCTTAAAAATCTACCTATGATTTTTTTTATGAAATTATTTGTTTATGATAAATAAAATAAATAAAAATAATAAATAAAAATTATCATTTGTAATTATCATTAAGTAATAATTATATATTGATAAATTTTATTGATCTGTCTATTAATTGATCTAGAACGAAATTATTTTAGAAATCAAATGAAATTTATTGCTTTAACTTCTTTGTACTTATATATTTTAAAAAAAATACTCAATAAAATTATCAATGATTTTAAATTAATCTTAAACTTCATAGTTCGTATCTAAGATGATATACACGTATATAAAAGGAATTATCAAAAAAACTTAAATTAACCTTGTTTCCTTTCAATAATTCCTTTATACTTACACGAAATGTCAAACAGAATTCCTAAACACACAGAAAGAGATTGACAACGATCATGTGACGCGAAAAATATCGTTCACGTTATATGAGAAATGCAACCAACAGAACAAACTTTACGATAGTCTATAAACTCTGAATCCGTTCGCATGGCATTCCACTCTCTTTCTCTTTCTCTTTCTCTCTTTCTTCTCCGTCTATTACCTTTCTATCCATCTCTATATCCGTGGTAAGTTTTGCTGAATTTTCGCGCAGCACAATGGACGCACGATAGTTTCACATGTAACGAAGCCAAGAGTCGTTCCACGTATTCCCAGCTCGGCGCCACTATCGTTTTCACGATAATATATTGCCCCCTGGCGGCATTATGCTCGCGTTACGTAAAACACGGGACGAAACGCACGTAGGAAATGCTGGCAAATATTTGGACACAGTCGTGATGAATATATCGGCCCACACTGATGAACTAATGATTCATAGGTGTGCGTAGACACGAGAATCTATTCTGTCGCTATTTTTTTTTTTTTTAACCATGCAGGGTTTATGGATCTTAAAGTTGAGTTTTGTGAATGGGGATATAATAGTATGTATAGAAGATTAAGTTAGTTGGAGAGGAGATTTTGTTGAGTATTTATCAAAATTGGAGAACGGAAATTTTTTTTTCTAAAATAAATAAATGGAAATATTTTCGTTTTTTTCATTACTAAATTTTGTAAATAAATTTTTATTTGAAATGATTGTTATATAATGAAATGGCATATAAAATATATAGTTTAATAAGGAAATTTTTTTCATGTTTTGAAATGAAATAATGTAAATTTTTTATTCTATGAAATTTTTCAATTTATCGCTATATATATTATTTTCTATAAAGAATTTTTGTATTAAAAAATATAATAAAGATTGAAGTAAATATAGTGAAATTAAATAATGAAAAGAAAGTTTGATTTTCTGAAACTGTGAAATATTATATGTTATATTCTTGAAATATTAGAATTAATTCTAGAAACCAAAACAAATACAACAATAAAAATATAGTGTCTCTATTTATATCACTCTATTGCTAATTTTATCTCCATCTCATTTCATTTAATGTAAACTTCAATTGCTTATAACTTAATAAAACTCAATCATAATTTTGTATATCAAATTTTATGTTTCTTTTGAAGTTTTATGATTCTGAAAAGAATCGATTCTCCAAAAATATTAACATTCTATATACATATATACATATATAAACATATATAATGTATCATGTGTATCATTTTAATAAATTAATAAATGATTAATAAATGATTCTATGTTGTATTAAATTTGAAAAAAATTTTTTATTTTTCATGAAAATTGTTTTAATACCGATATAAGCAAAACAGGAATGACAGAATTGTTTTGAAATTCCGTTATTAATTCAAGAGAATATAATATTCTGGTTTAAAACTCGATAAAAGTTTTTGGAGGATTGCATTATTCCACAAATAAATGTTCTACACAAATACATTTTGAAATAACAACAATGTAATGATGAAGTATCAATGAAATAGCAATAATTCTAAAAAATGTAATAGCTTGTTTTAACGTAAATCTTATAATATTATTTTAACTTTATCATTTCTTCTGTTATGCTATTTAAATTTTTTTAAAAATACATTCAAATATGAATACAAATATGATACAAATTTTATAACATAAAAGTAGAATAAAAATTTAAATTTCTTTTTTTCTATTTTTAATTTTAATTGCAATTCTTCATTTTTTCTGCCAATTCATCAAAATTAAAATTTTTTATCTCGAGATTTGTTTCTTATTTATTTTTTATATTAAAACTTTTTAATTTTAGAAAATTAACGAATACTTTTTTTTCATCAAAATCGACATCTCCAATTAAAAAATCTCCATGTATCTATGTTTTTTATTAAATTATATTAAAAATTACATCAATTTTCAAAATCTTCAAAGTTTTAATAATTTCTTAAAATTAAAAGTTTCAATTTCAAAAATTTAATATTTAAATAGATAATTAATTAATATATTAATATCTATAATATTATTAATATTAATATTATTAATAATAAAATTTATTAATATTAATCTCTTTATTTTAAATTTTACCAATTTATCAAAATTGAAATTCCCAATTTGAAAATTAATTTACATCTAATTATATAATTATAAACAAATATCTATTTTCTTTATATTATGATTCATTATGTTAAATTCATCGAAATTAATGAAACATAAATATGCTTATTTTTCTATTAAATTCCATCAATACAATCAAAATTAAAATTTCCAAATATATATTTTAAATCCTATATATTTCTCAAAATCGAAATTTTCAATTTCAAAAATTTTTATATATATAGAAAAACTTATTTTATGTATCTTACAAAAATTGTATAAAAATCGAAATTTTCAATTAGAAAATTAAGACATATATAATTTTTCTACTTTAAATTTTTTGAACTCATCAAAATTAAAATCTTCAATTCGAAAATAAAAAAAATCGAAGATCTCCAATGAAAAATTACAAATTCTTTTATTTCAAACTTCGTCAATCAAAATTTTCAAGCTTAAATTAAAATTAAATATCTTTATTCTAAAAACTTTATCAAAATCAATCAATATATCTATTCTGTTTATTCCAAATTCTGACCATTCAATCAAATTCAAATGCTTCGATGTCAAGATTAATAACTACTTATACATACAATAATCATGTTTAACTTCAAGAATCACAGTTCAAGACCAGTAATATTTCATTCACAATGGGAAAATGGAGACGAAGGTCGATGTAATCGTGTTTAAGAGACGGGGATATAAAACGTCTGACGATTTATACATCCCTCGAAACACGGTCGAATGGGATGAGTGCGCGGTATCTACTCAAAGCGGGGATTTTCTTTGAAATTTCGCAAAACGTGGGG